TAGTAACACTGGGCACTGGCCGCCTGGCTGCAGGAAGCTGAGAAAGCAGTCCCAGTTCTGGGGCTTCAACTCAGGGCCTGGGCGCGCCGTCTCTGAGCTTCTGTTTGCTCCAGGCTAGCGCTCTACCTCTTGAACCACAGCGCCACTTCCAGCTTCTTCCATTTACGTGGTACTGAGGAATCGAACCCAGGGCTTCATGCATGCGAGGCAAGCACTCTACCACTGAGCCACCTTCCCAGCCCAGGGGTCGATTTTAATTAGGCCTTAAGAGCAGCAGAGCATGCATGTGCGCTAACCTCAACGGTCACTGGATGCAGACGGGTAATCCTAAGATTTTGGTTCTTGTCTTCTTCTGAGGAGAGAAGCCACAGAAACACATTGCGTTAGCCAATCATAACCATTTTTCTTCCCCAAACAGGTATAGGTTTGGCATCATCTCCTAGTGCTGATGTTATCTATCATGGCCAGCTCTTCTTCATCCTCCTCCCCGGCTAATTTTCCCATTTCTCCATCACAGGTGATCGTTTAGTCCATCCATCCTTCTTGGGGTACATTCCGCTGGTCCCTTTATCCAGGGTCAACAGTATGGGCCTTGCCACATGATAATTATGTAAGGCTGATATTATTTACTATTTTTGTAGATGAGCCCAGAGAAGTTGAGAGGGATTAAGTATGCTACCCAAACCACTCAGCTGCTAAGCAGTGAAGCTAAGCCTCCGCTCCAAAACACGGGTGCCTTGCCCATGAGTCACCCGGGCAGACATTCTCGACAGTTGGTTGATGTTTGAAAGACACACACAACAACAACAAAAATACCCACCCAGAAATAACTCAGCCGCTCAACGGGGATTATACTTGAAATTCCATTCATTTTGAATTACTGACTGCTCCCTCATGAAGCGCTAAATAAGTTATTCTTTATCCTTTATAGATCCTTATGTAAAACTTCAGTGCATGGTAAATTAAGTATGGCGTGTTTCCGACTACTTAACTGACAGAAGACCCAGCTGAGCTGGGCTGAAGCACTTCCCATGGGCTCTGTGGTTGTCGGCATCGGGGTAGCCGGGCTGGCAGCGCTCAGTTCTGTGGGGCTTTTTGCAGGATGGTCTCAGGCATCTCGTTTATTTTAGAGCTGGAAGAAGGGATGAGAGGAGGGTATACAACCATGTTTGTCGTTTGTATCCCACAAAACAGACGGTCCAGGAAGCCCTCCATCAACCTTTGCTTTGAACTTCCAGCAAGAACCATGTCAGATGGCAGCATGTAGCTTGCAAGGGAGTCGGGGAGTGGGGGGGGGGGGCACTTTTCTGTGGTGGAGGTGGAGAAGGATGGACGGAAGTTGGGGAAAATCAGGGGTGCTGGCCACTGAGGAGCCTTGTTCCGTTCATGTTCTCAACAGCTCCAGAGATAGCAGACAGCGTCATTGCCATTTCGCAGACCAGGGGAAAACCAAGTCAGCAGAGTGCAGGTAGCTTCCCGAGGTGGTGTGACCAGTGTGGCTTACCTAGCATGTAAGCTCTGATTTCTTACACTCAAGAATTTTTTTTCCCCTTCTTTTCCCAGAGGAGAAGTAGGGGCCCTTCAGCAATAGATACTGCATTGATGATGTCCAATCCTTTCTCCTCGGCAGCAGAAAACAAATTCAGGGCCCCAGAAAGCCAGTAATTGGGAGAAAAGCTAGTAGGTGGTTGGTGAGGGTCTGGAGACCCCGGCTCTCCTCCTGTCTTCCCATTATACTCAGCACTGGCGAGGTCTCCACAGCCTCTGCAGGCCCAATGCCGTTCTGTAGGTTTGAACCGAGGTCCTTGGAGGAAATCTCAGCAGAACTTTCCCATCAAACGTCTCCTTGTCTGTTTTTCTGGCAGTTGTGGCCAAACTTCCTGGCCGGCTGCATCCCAGAAGTGTGTTTTGGTAAAGAAAAGAACTCCTTATTCGCCTTGTGATGTAGCCTTTTACTCCATCCGGAACTTAATCTCCAAGGAAAAGCGCCATGTCTTCTCTTTTGTTTTTTCTTCTTCTGACTAACTCTGGGTAGTTTAGGTATATATTTGGGGTTCATTTTGGATGAGCCTGGAGATTATTCCCGGGTATTTTTGTTCGGGATCGTTGACGTCACACTGTATTAAAGCCAAACTTGGAGGTGCCTGGTTCTGTGATTCTTCCTCCACAGTGCAGCGTCCGCAAGGCCCTGGCCACAGCTTCCCATCAAAACAGAAATGGAAATAGACATAGAAATGACTTTTTCTTTCTGTAGCTGTTTAGCCTCAGAGCCGGGGAGTCTTTCTGATCTTTGTATCCACAAGATCTTCTGGGAGAAGCATTCATTAAATGAATGTTTAAAAAAGGGGGGGGGGGGGGGGAGAGCTGGCTTTTATTGAATATTGGTTTAAAGGTTAACCAAGAAATCTTATTTATTTTTTGCGGTTGAGAATAGTTATGTAACGTGCTGGTTCAAGGTTTTGCCTCGGTAAGCAGAATATTTTAGCCATCAATTGGATTCGTGCGTTGGACTCTGTCGTTGGTCTCGTTAGCCAGGGCTCTGGTTTTGCGCAGGCAGCCCGTGTGAAAGCATCTGCATGCCGGCTGACCTCATTCACTCTCTTCTTCCTCCCTTTAAACGGTTTTCCTCGGAGTTATTGTCATCCGCTTGATTCTCACAATTCCAGAATAAACACATGACGGCTTATTTAGCTAAAAGCCTTCCCGCATCTGGGTCCCAATTGCTCCTGAGTGACTAAGTCACCCTTCAGAAGACTTCTACACCTGTCCAGCACAAATAGACTTTCCCCTCTTCATAAGGCTGGCCCCCGGGGGTGGCACCCGAATTGCCTTTAAAAAGATATGTGCTCACTGGCCCGTCCTCTTTCATCCCGTGTAATTCTTTAGTATTTTGTTCGTCGTCACACTGTTCCATTTGGGGGACATGGATGATGTGTTTTGCCCATTTCCCTACTAGTCGATCCAGGCTTTGGCTGATGGGGAAGCGGCGATGTACGGAGAGATCCCTGGCTCGCGCGATGGTACCAGTTCTGAGGGCGGGGGACACCGGGGAGCGCACCGGGATTCCTGCGCCCCTGGGGAACCCTGGGGTTGGGAGTTCACCTGCAGGCAGATTAGGGGGGGCAGCCAGGCAGCCCAACAGCAGCCCAGCCAGGGGAGCGAGCAGAGGAAAAATAAAGTCAGTGAGAGGAAAGGGCCTGACCGAGGGCGGGAGGCCAGTCCTGGGTCCTGGACTTGAACCGCGATCCTCAGATCTCAGCCTCCAGCTTCCTGAGTAGCCAGGATGACAGGCATGAGCCACCGGCGCCCAGCACTGGGCACATCTTTATGTTTTTGGTCAGTCACGGGGCTTGAACTCAAGACCTAGGTGCTGTCCTTGAGCTCTTTTGCTCAAGGTTGGCGCTCTACCACTTGAGCCACAGCGCCACTTTTGGTTTTCTGGTGGTTCACTGGAGATCAGAGTCTCACAGACTTTCCTGCCCCGGGCTGGAAACCCCAGATCTCAGCCTCCTGAGTAGCTAGGAAGATAGGTGTGAGCCACCGGCGCCCGGCACTGGGCACTTCTTGACCGGTGACCTGGGAAGGTCACTTGTGGTCCCCAGAACAATGGGACATGGGCGGGACACCTCTCTCGGTACTGTGCTTAGAATCTGCTGCATGGAGCGAAATCAGTGGGCGTCTTGGTGATTCTTAGCCCTTTGCAGACAAGCACAACGGGTGGTATGTCTCCGGCGAGGGTGTGCTGGCTGGCTGTCACCTCAGAGGACAGGAGGAGGTGTCAGGGGCAGAGTCGCTGCCCCCGCCCGGGCCAGTGGGCCGTGCACCTGCCGGCCGCGCCTGCGCGTTCCCGTCCACGGCGGGGCCGGGGCCCAGAGTGTGACATCCTTCCTGCCCCGCGTGGGCGCACCGCTGGCATCGCAGTGGCCAGGGCTTCCGCACACATGGGCTGCAGCGTACCAGGCCGCTTGGCACCTGTGGCTTCCTGGTCCCCGGGTGCCAGGAGACTCCACGCAAGCCAGCAAGGCGGCCGGAACAGCCACCGGACATTGCTGGTGTCTTGTGGACTGCTGGGCCCTGGTGGGCTTGGCCCCCGCGTGGGCAGATGAAAGAGAAAGACGTTCTTTGCTCTGTCTGTCTGTCTGTCTGTCTGTGATCTTTCTCTGTTTCTCACATTTGTTTTTCTTTAACTGTGGGACAATGAAGGCCTGGGCCGAGGACTCCGTTCAAGGAAGCCGGCTTGAAAGCCCATTCATGATCAAAGGCCAGGCCGTGGGGGACCTGGAAGAGTCAGGATGGAAGCTGGGCACCGGTGGCTCACGTCTGCAGTCCCAGCTCCTCGGGAGGCTGAGAGCCGAGGATCCTGGTTTGAAGCCAGCCCAGGCAGAGAAGTCCGTGAGGCTCTTAATCCAGTGAACCACCAAAAAAGCCTGAAGTAGAGGTCCAGCTTTAGAGGAAGAGCATTAGGCTTGAGTCAAAAACCTAAGTAACAGTGCCCAAGGCCTGAGATCAAGCCCCAGGACCGCCACAGGTGCGCACACACACACACACACACACACACACACACACACAAGATAAAAAAAACTGGAGAGCAACAGGAAACTGGAAGAAGGCATTCCTGCCACATTTTATTGCGGTCTCCTGTGATTTTTTTAAAATTTTATTTTGTCGGTCGTGGGGCTTGAACTCAGGGCCTGGGCGCTGTCTCTGAGCCTTTTCGCAGAAAGCCAGCGCTCCACCACTTTGAGCCACAGCTCCACCTCTGCTTTTCTGGTGGTTCACGGGAGATCAGAGTCTCACGGACTTTCCTGCCCCCCGGGGCTGGCTTCGAGCCGCGATCCTCAGATCTCAGCCTCCTGAGGAGCTGGGATGCCAGACGCGAGCCACCGGGCGCCCATGGGATTTTATCTGACTTCATTTTTCTCTGAAGCAAAGGAGCCGACTGCGCGTGCGCGAGCGTGCTCTGCGTGGCCCGGGGCTGACCCTCTGCTCTGTCTTGACAGCTGTTCATGGTGGACAACGGCGCGGACGACTGGAGAATAGCCATGACCTACGAGCGCATCTTCTTCATCTGCCTGGAGATCCTCGTGTGTGCTATCCACCCCATCCCCGGCGACTACACGTTCACCTGGACGGCCCGCCTCGCCTTCTCCTACGCCCCCTCCACCACCACCGCCGACGTGGACATCATCCTGTCCATCCCCATGTTCTTAAGACTCTACCTGATCGCCAGGGTCATGCTGTTGCACAGCAAACTCTTCACCGATGCCTCGTCCAGGAGCATCGGCGCGCTCAATAAGATAAACTTCAACACGCGCTTCGTCATGAAGACGCTAATGACCATTTGCCCGGGGACCGTGCTCTTGGTGTTTAGCATCTCCCTGTGGATAATTGCTGCCTGGACGGTCCGAGCCTGCGAGAGGTGAGTGCCGGGCTCTGCGGGGGCCTGTTTCCCCACGGCGTGCTGTTCCCCGCGTGTCTGCGGAAGTAGCAGGGACAAGGTTTCGCGTTTGGATTGTTTTGGGGGGTTTTCTGATGATGATGCGCCTCCGTCTTGGGATTCTCTTGGCGGGCTTTATTTTTTTTTTCTGTCGGTCGTGGGGCTTGAACTCTGGGCCTGGGCGCTGTCCCTCAGCTCTTCAGCTCAAGGCGAGCGCTCTACCACTTGAGCCACAGCGCCACTTCCAGGTTTCTGAGTGGCTTATTGGAGAGAAGAGTCTCACGGACTTTCCTGCCCAGGCTGGCTTTGAACCGCGATCCTCGGATCTCAGCCTCCCGAGTAGCTAGGATGACAGGTGCTCAGCTTCCATTTGTTTCTTACTGACCTTCGAAGGAGGCGTAGAAATTTCCTCCTGCCTGAGGAGCTTTGATAGCAGCCACCCATGCACGCCCCGTGGGCAGTCCTGAGCGGTGCCCTCCACAAACAAGAATAGAAGCCACAGAGAAACAGGAAGAGCTGTGTAGTGAAGGGTGTTAGACACTTGACTTCTGTGTGTGTGTGTGTGTGTGTGTGTGTGTGTGTGTGTGTGTGTGTCAGAGAGAGACAGAGAGAGAGAGAGAGAGAGGTGTGGGGGGGAACAGTGAGAATTTTCCAGAACTGTTGAATGATGGGGTGTGGATCATCACGCAAACTAAGCGTCTGGCTTTTGAGAAATCAAGAGTCGTACCCTCACATAGTTTAAAGAGAAGGGGGAAAAAATCTGCCTGAGAACTGTAGAAAGAGAAGAAGGATGGCTAGATGGAAGGAGGGAGAGAGGGAGGGAGGGAAGGAGAGAAAGGGCAACCCCCACACACACATCCCACCCCCTGCTCTGGGGGAGGAATTCACCGCGAATTCCTCAAGCGTCCCTTTGATTTGGCTTTTAGATTCCCGAGTAATAGGGCTTCTGTTGCCAATGTATTTTTTTTTGCCAACTTCTGTTGTTGGGGTTTGGGGTTCCTTTCCCTGACACCCCCCCTGTGGTCCCCCTCGCCCTCCCCCACTCCATTCTCATCCCCACATCCTCCTCAGGAGCTGAGAAAAGAAAGCGTGGTGTGTGGGGGTCTGCCCTCGGGGATTCGCCCCCCCTCCCTTGCGTGGTTTTGTGTGCCCGCCTCTCATTGGCCCCCAGCTCCCCCCACCCGCCCGGCTGTGGTCACGCCAGTCGCTTTCCCTCCACTCGGGACAGTGGAGGCAGCCTCCCCTCCCCCCAGGCCTTCGCCCCTTGCCACACCCCGCGTCCGGTTCTGTCATCCTTCTAGATCCTTGTGAGCGCAGCGTCTGGCCCGGGACCCCCTCAGGAGCCGCCCTGCCCACCTGCCTTCCTCCTGCCCCGATAGCCAGCCGCACTCCGGATCGCTTTCCCGCATGGTAGCAAAGGCCGTGTTTTCTCCTCTGGTGTCCTGGTCCCACAGCCTGACACCATCTTTTTATTTTATTATTGTTGTTGTTGTTGTTGTTGTTGGTCATGGGGCTTGAACTCTGGGCCTGGGCGCTGTCCCTCAGCTCTTCAGTTCAAGGCGAGCGCTCTACCGCTTGAGCCACAGCGTCACTTCTGGTTTTCTGGTGGTTTATTGGATGATAAGAGTTTCACAGACTTTCCTGCCTGGGCTGGCTTTGAACCACGATCCTCAGATCTCAGCCTCCTGAGTAGCTCGGATGACAGGCGTGAGCCACCAGTGTCCAGCAGTTTTGTATGTGTGTGTGTGAGCTCGATTTGGTATTCTTTCTGGTGTCAGTCCTGGGGCTTGAACTCAGGGTCTGGGTACTGCAGGCTAGCACTCTACCACTCGAACCACTTGTGGCTTTTTGATGATTCACTGGAGGTAAGAGTCTCGTGAATGTTTCCTGCCCGGGCTGACTTTGAACCCTGACCCTCAGATCTCAGCCTCCTGGGTAGCTGGGGTAACCGGTGTGAGCCCTTGGTGCTTGGGGAAGTTTACTTGTAAAGAAATGTAGGAGCCGGCGCAGGGCGCAGGTGTCTGATCTATAATCCTAGCGGCTCACAGGCTGAGATCAGAAAATCCATGAGCTTTCCTGTCTCCGGTTAACCACCAGAAAGCCAAAGTGGAGCTGTGGCTGAAATGGTAGAGCACTGGCCTTGAGCTAAAAAGGTCAGGGACAGCACCCAGGCCCTGAGTGCCCCCCCCCTCTCCCCCTCCCTCCCTCCTTCCCTCCCTCTCTCTCTTCTCTCAAAAAAAAAAGCTTAGATAAGATGCTTGGTATTAATGATAAGATCTACCGGCTCAACCTGCCCTTAAATCTCACAAATCATACTCACCATCAGACCACACGCCTGAGCCGTGTACTATACAATGAAAGTCCAGCCAGGCGCCGGTGGCTCACGCCTGTCATCCTAGCTACTCACGAGGCTGAGATCTGAGGATCACAGTTCAAAGCCAGCCCAGGCAGGAAAATCCGTGAGACTCTGATCTCCAGTGAACCACCAGAAAACTGGAAGTGGCGCTGTGGCTCAAGTGGTAGAGCGCCAGCTTTGAGCAAAAAGAAGCTCGCGGACAGCGCCCAGGCCCCGAGTTCAAGCACCACCAGGACCCCCACCCCACCCCCAAAAAAGTGCCGCTCACATCCTATCTTGGTGTCCACCTGTGCACGGGGAACTGGCTGGTACCCCTCCCTCTTTGGAAGACGACATTGTCTACGTGCATAACGTGCCAGAGAGAGAGAGAGGATTCTCCCCATCTGATTGTGCATTCAGCTTCCCGGTGGGAATGCACAGAATCTCCACGTCGCAGCGTGGCACGCAAGCCTTACTTCTGCACCTGACACCAGCAGATCTGACGCTTGCCCCTCCCCTCCCCTCTACCCCCCCCTCCTCCCGTCCCCTCCATCTGTCAGTCTTTCCTTTTGTGAGGTTGCCAGCACTTCAGGGGGGCCCGGTCCTTCAGAGAACCTCACAGCTCCATCCTGACTCCCAGCGCCCGGTCCGTGTTCCCGGTAGAAATGTTCCCTTTAGATCACTCAGAGACCTGCAAGGATATTTGAAGTTAAGAGAGAGAGAGAGAGTTCTCTTGAGAAGGTTGTGTTACAAACCTCCGCCCGCCCCCTCCCTCAGCCCAGAAGTTTCCCCCAGTTCTTGGCTCACGCGCAAGTCACTTCGGATTTCTTCACCCGCACCGCAGGCGCGTACGCGCGGCCTGTGTAGTGCCACGTCGGTGTGTGATTCGGTTCTTGTGTCTTACGTGTGTGCACGTGTAAGAGTTCAATGCCTTTCCCGGGGCAGTTGATGCATTGGATCAAGAGGCGCCGTCCGAAGGGCCTTGGGGGACACGTGTCTCGGGAACCTGGCACCGATGGCTTGTAATCCCAGGACCCCCGTGCTCAGGAACTCGGAGCCACGTGCCCCGTGGCCGCGCACACGCATGACCGCCACCCTGAGGTTTCAGAGTCTGGGAGTGAGGGGGGAGGGTTCAGGCTGGGGAGGGGGGGAGGAGGAGGGAGCGTGCGCTCGTGTGGACGTCATTGCTGTGAATCTCTGGGTTCGCCCGTATGTAGTGGAGAGGGACGCTGCTCACGAAATCACTTAAGCCTCCGTGTGTCATTTTTGGAAGGAGAATTAGAGAGGCAAATAGCAGGCTTCCGTGCGCAAAGCCTCTCCCCGAGCTGCGTCCTCGGTGGATTAGCAGTGAGCTCCATCCTGAAGCCTAAGAGAAGGACACAAGCATGTTTATTTTTTCAGGGTATCAAAGCTAGCCTGAGGACCAGCGACCTCTGTCCCCCCGCCGTGTTTAGAGTCCACGGTTCTGGGTCTTTAAGAACGTCTGCCGTGTGTCCGCCATTAGAGCAGGGACGTTAGACTCCAGAGTCCCACAGGTGGCCTTTGATGTCACCTCGCTTTACACTGTCCAGCTGCCTAGAAGAGGATTTCTGCCGGGCAGGTCAAACTCGGTCATTATTAGTAGTAGTAGTAGTGGCGGCGTTATTATTATATATTATGTTGTGGAATTTTTGCAATCAAATCATACCCCGTAATAATATCATATACAACCTAAGTTTCAGCTGCGCAAGCCGCGTTAGTCACAATGCTCCATTCTGCCCTTGAATAGTAGTCTGAGAATGCGTTGCTCAACTTCCTGTACGTTAAGACGTCTTGTTTCACCAGGTGTCACTGGCTCACGCCTGTCATCCCAGCTACTCAGGAGGCTGAGATCTGAGGATCGCGGTTCAAAGCCAGCCCGGGCAGGAAAGTCCGTGAGACTCTGATCTCCAGTGAACCACCAGAAAAACTGAAAGTGGTGCTGTAACTCAAGTGGTAGAACTCCATCCTTGAACCAAAAACAGCTCAGGGATAGTACCCAGTGCTCACACACACATCCCCAAATATACTGCTCTATACACAGATTTTCATCCCTCGAGGACCAGTTCGGTATTGGGGGTTCCATTTTTAATGGGGTACAGGTTACCCTTCGTCCATCCCCAATGCCATCTGACTTTTACACATAATTAGATCAAAATAAATAGGCTTGTTCCAGGATTGACCCACCAGAAAAGGGAGAGTGGCGGGTATCTACACCTAGTAAAGTCATTCAGTGTGGCCGTGGATAACTTTTTTCTGACCTGGTATACTCTTATTCTTCCAAGATCATACATACCTTTATTACTTCCGTCTATCGGGTGCGTTTACAATAACACTGGGGTTGAAGCTTCAATGGGTGATTAATTCCTTTTGAAGGGCTTTAATAACTGGGTTGTAATTTTCCTGTGTCTTTAAGTAGTTATAGAAAGGGGTGGTGGTGCCGGTGGTTCACACCTGTCATTCTAGCTACTCAGGAGGCTGAGATCTGAGGATCGCGGTTCAGAGCCACCGAGGCTGTCTATTTCAATACGTTTATTTAACATTACCTATTTAAAATCTTCTTTTCCTTTAGAATATAAACTTGGGTTTTATTTGTACTATATATATTTTTTGGGGTACGGTCGTGGGG